GGAAGCAACAGCTGTTCCGGAGAGAGTGCTCGCTGCGGTGAGGTGCCGGAGACCCTGTTAGCGGAGGAGTCAATGAAGGAGGCTTTTCAGAGAAGGCCGAGTGAACGGTGGAGAGGGGGTTAGGGTCCTGGGGTTTCGGGCACGAGTGCGCCGAAGGAAGGTCCGCAATCGAGGGTGGAGGAGGCCAGAAGCTCTGCGCATGGAAAGCAACAAGGTGGGCCAGCTACGGAGAAGAGAGAGAAAAGCCCGGATCGATCGAAGTCACCTGACCGGAGAGCCGCATCGAAGCTCGTAGTCTTTCGAGACCACGGTAGTGGAGGGTGGACCAACTGCGGCGTGAAAGCACGCCCTTCGCAGCCTTCCACCGACGTCGCGTCACCTTCCCTTCCGCTCTATCCGTCGGCATTGCGCTTGCTTGACGCTGTGCCCGGCTGCGTCTACCAGCGATGTAAGAAAGGAAAGAAAATGAACGAAGGAGGTGGACTGGATTTGGAGATTATAAGATTGTGCCTTAAGCCCCGCTGAAATGACTACGTGGACAGTGCGGTAGAGACCGATGGTCTATATAGCTGGCGTACCATATGCAAACCACTTGATCGCCGGTCCGCTGAAGTAATGAATTTTTATGTGTTTTCTTCTCTTTTTTTCTCGAGAAAGATGTCGAATGAAAGGCAGGAAGGCTAACACGAAGAAAACTATCGGGTTCACTAACCTCCACTGGGGAAAGGAAGGGGTAAGCAGGAACAAAAAGGTTAATAAAGGGCAGAACGGCACAAAGATTTAACTACATGAAGGAAAGAAACGCACTCTCTCGAAATTCTGATATAATGTGTCGGAGCGAGGAGCTTGATTTCAGGCCAATGCGCCAAATATCTGAAGGCGTGTTTCGCTGGCAGTGACAGAGTAGAGGATTAGTCGTCGGCACGAAGTGACCAAACTCCATGTCACTCACAGACAGCGCTAGAACATATTGCGTACTGAGCCGCTGATGAAGAAGCCCGACGCTCTTGAGAGGCTCATTCGCTGCTTATCATCATAATTTCTAGAACCGCGATGCTGCGAAATTTTGTTCGCAGACGCGCAGTACCGTGCAATACACGATGCAGCTGTATATACTCCATACTGGCTGCCACTGTATATTGGTGTACTGTACGGTACTGTAGTGTACTGTAATGTACTGTACTGTAATGCACTGTACTGCAGTGACACTAGCTTGGTTACCTGTGCCACTATGGCTGCATTCTGTTGAAAGCAGAATACAAAAATACGTTATGCAGACCTGAGGATCAAATCTATCTATCTATCTATCTATCTATCTATCTATCTATCTATCTATCTATCTATCTCTATCTATCTATCTATCGAAACCTTCAATTATATGACAGACAACTACAGCCGACGCAAACATTGGTGCTCAGCGTTACCGTTTTCTCGCGCAACTTTTATATTTATGCATCTACAATGTCACACTGCATATTTGATACAGTATTTATATTTATGTACTTTAGATTTAAGCCTTAGGTAATTGTAGACGAGTCTGGACTATTTAGCAGTCAAATAAATACTAAACAGAGCAGACAAGCTTAATCATCTACCTTTCTTTTCACTCTCCGCCTGTATGTCATCTCCAATAGTAATCTAACGATTTTACTCATAAGACAGAAAGTGCAGCGACAGTGTAATTAAAGATTAAAAAATTAATGCTTTGCTCCGAGAGAGAGCTGGAAGTTCTGAGGAAACGGGGCTGTGTTATAGCAAATATAAGGCCCTTAATTGCAGTCGGTACGTTTTTTTTATTGTCTTGAATGCTTCACAGCTGTCCTTCGCTTGCCCTTTCGTGGTTATGTCGTTGTCGGAACGTTTTGTATCTGACACCGAAATATTAAATGCCGGGTGTCTGTCCTGAATCGCCATAAGCATTGCAACATGTCTACATAGTCGAGCAGGCGTTAACTTCCATGTAATCCCAAATGAAGTTGTTTTTCTGTTTTACTTTCCGTCCTGCTTTTTTTTTCTTGTTATATTCACCGATAAAAGCTGTGCAGGAAGGATAAAAAGCGTCTGGCCTCGGCTTCTGCATTACCTAAATTGGAAGAGGTCTTAAGGCACAGCAACGGCGGCAAAATAATTTAACGAGACATGACTGCGATGAAAAACAAGAAGTAAAAAAAAAACAAAGCGCTTGTGTTCTTCGGCACTCGTAATGAAGGCATCGTGATTAAGGTGGTTAAGATAGACTGGCGACAGTTCTTTGTTCTCAATAATTACATAGAGCTTTTTTTTTTGGCAGGCGTTGTTGTTCTCAGAACTATTATTTATTTCTCCTTACAAAACTGAAGAGAATTGACAGCTGAGGGGGCGGCTGGTGTCTTTTGAATCTGTGCAGCGTCATGGTCGTACTTGCAGCCGTTTTCCTTAGGCTTTTCAAGCCTGGATGAAAAGGCTGCAAGTTCTGACCTGGTGTCTGTCTGCAACTTTATTATCGCTCGTTCAATCAGTCATTTAATTATTCATTTTGTCAGAAAATAATTTAATCAGTCAATGTGCCCTATAATGAGTGAGTCAGAAAAATCTGTGCTTTAGGAGTTTACCGTAGAATAATCTAAGGTGTCTTAATTACACTTCTACGAGGAAACAAGTGGTTGGCAAACTCAGAGGAGGAATAAAAACACAATTAAAATATTGAACTCTAAGAAGCAGAAGTAGGGCAAATATAATCAAAGACCGAGAAAATCAAGATTTGTTTACTACACATACAATTCAACCATAAGTGACTTTTAAAGGTCACATGGATTATCCCTCCTAAATGAATCCCAGAATTGTGTTGGAATGGGTTTAGGAAACATCGTTTATTTTATCTAGACATGGTCAGATACTGCGATAAACCTTAGTTACGTAGTCTTTTCGTTTCATGGTTGTTGGCGTGTATTTACTTCAGGCACGTGTTTTCCTGTGTTACTATCCGCGCAAAGCAATAAAGACTTATAGCCGACGTACAGTACAGAGGGCTGAACAAGTGTGTATGTGCGCCTGCCTTTATATACATCAGGTATGTGGTGCTTTGCGTTACTATCCGGGTAAGCTCTCGTCAGCGAATAGCTGAGTGTTACCTAGAGGAAAGGAAAGGAAACAAGGAGACAGTGGAGGTATTGTATTTGAAAAAGTGACTAATATAGTCACAAAGAAATTTCATGATGACGCAAACACTTATCTATGAGAACGATATGACACAAACACGAAAGCCGACACAGACTCACAAGAGGATATTGGCGTTTTTCAAGTTGTTTATTAATACGAAAGTGTTTTATGCGGATGTTTACCAGGACTTCAGCAATGTATTTCCGTCACGGATATGATGTTATTAAAATGGACGCTAACGGTCGAGAGAAAAAAGAAGCTCCCGCTGCCATCGATTGAATCTTCGATCTAACATACCGCGACAAGCGCCCAGTGACCTACCCGCAAAGCTAGCGACGCAGACGCACGATACACCACAAACACGCTTTATATCTTTCACACGTTCTGTGTTGGGGGGGGGGGGGGGGGCTACCGTCTGTTAGCGGGCAAGGGAAGCAATCTGGCATAACACTTAGTATAGCGCTATTAAAGAACGATTCGATGACGATGCTGATGAAGCATAGCCGCTGAGATTGAGAATCTCAGAGGCAATGGTTAAATCATTTCGACAACAGCGAAAAACACTGGCCGCACTAGCATCGCGGAGTCTCCCTTGACGCAGGTGCGTTATTCGCCTTTCGCTTAGTGGTTGCGTGGGATGACAGCTTGTTGTCGGAGTAGTGCAGCTTCAAAGTGCACCAATAGTGCTTCTCCGCCGCCTATTGTTTTGAGTACGATTGCACTGACTAATGAAAAATGGGTGCTGCAGAAAGGCTACGATGTTGACCTGAAACATTCTGAAACACAAGTAGTTCCCTGTGCCAGACATGTACCTGCAAAGTAAGTAAAGTAAGTGCTATATATACCCCACGCTTACTCAATGCCTGTATGCGTAAGAAAATAGTAAACTTATTAGGTCTATGTATCCTTCGCCATCATGGCACACCACGCTACATTACCCGAAGTTGTGTAGTAATTGAACGTTGAATTGATCAGCATTGGCAATAGAGAAATAATATGCCAAAATGAATAACAGGGTAGTATAGGTTACTACCCATGATTGGTAACTGTTAGGGTAATAATAGTTACTAAATGCTTGTAGTAACAGTAAAAGTAGTAACTGTTACCATCCCCGCCATTACTAACTGCGGTTACTACCAGGGTTGTAACATATGAGACAAGCCATTAGTACCCCAAAGTTAGCAAGCACTACTACCTTTTTTTTTTCTAAAAGTGTGTTCCTCAGTTTTTCCTATCTGATAAAAGTTTGCAACTTGTGTTATACCGAGAGCGATTACATATGCAACTTTCAAGAAACGATGCTTGGAAGTTGCCTAGAAAGAAAATGTCCATCGGAGCCATGTTTTTGACGTCTAACCTAGTGATGTTATCCTTTTTCTATGGATTCTAGTTACTTCAAGCCTTCACCTTCTCCTGAGCCACGTTTTTTATGTCTACTCTAGTGATGTTACCCTTTATGAATGGATTCTAGTTACTACGAGCTTTTATCCTCTCCTGAACATTTGTTAATTGGGTTTCTAACAGACAATGGTAATCCTTGAATATTCGCACGCATAGCCTTGAACATCCTTGAAAACCCCTGTATTTTTTTTTTATTTCAGATTTACTGCCAGCCTTTGAAAAAGGCCTTTGGCAGGAGCGGGCAGAACAAATAAAAGAATGCGAGAACATACGCAAATACGTCCACAAAGCAACCGCAACAATGAGCGAAAATTTACATTTTCATCATGTAAATAAGCATGAACACTGAACATGAGACAAACAGTTTTTCTCTCTTTCATTAAACGAGTCCGGTAAGCATGCGAATCAGCCAGTGGCCTCTAACAACTCCGATGTCTTTCGCTGTCCGGTGGCGCGCGCAGGTGTAACCATTTTGCTGTCCCTGACGGTATTCATGCTCCAGCTCGCCGAGACCATGCCTCCGACGTCCGATGCTGTCTCCATAATAGGTGCGCCGGGTTACACCCCGACACCTGCATGTTCATGGCGGCGGGTCTCTGCCGCACTCTGGTTGATTGGTGGTGATGGTGGTTGTGCTTGTACCACTTCGTGTCTAGTTTACTGACGGATGATGTCTCTTTCGGTGCAATGCATTGTCTGTCTACAGTGCAAGCCATGTCGCTCGTTCATCTTGTTGGTGCTCTCTTGTGTAGTGCTTGTGATGTCAGTTTCTGCTTTAGTGGACTGTGATTTCTTTGTTTTCTTTCTTGCCTGCTATAGGAGGTGGTCATTGTTATGCGCACTGGTTCACAGAGTTAAAGTAGAGCTTAAGCTGTTACTGCTTGTGACTTGAATGTTGAAAAGTCACCTGTATAAGTGCTCAATGTATATGGCAAAACAAAATGTGGGGCGAAGATGTGTTGGTTCATGATAACTGAAGGGGGCGGGGAGGGGGGATATACGTGGCATACAAGAAAATGAGACACGGCACGTCGTCTAGCGTCCTTCTTTTCTTGTGGGCCGTGTATACCCCCCCCCCCCTACCAGTTTACCATGAACAATATAAACGGTCCCCGCGGAAAAGATTACCGCAATCAATAATCGGCCAGAACTGTCGCTTGTAATAACATTTTTCTGTGGTCACTACTTTACAAAAGCTAGCTTCATATCAGTGCTCTGCTTTTAAAGAGAATCTGGTAGTATAGAAGGAAGATATTGTAATCTAAGTATATCATTAGATGCTATATCAAAGTAAACAAAATAACCTCTTGCATATGGACACAGCCCAAACATGTTCTCTTGGCATAAATTTTCTCAAGGTGCCAAGTTTACAAGGAGTGGCATTTGTGTGAGGGCACTGTAGCGCTCACACGCTCTTAAATGTCCCAGTTGAAAAAAAAGCAAGCTTGTAGGAAGGACATCTGCTGTGCGTTCTACTCGACCAAGGTTTCTTCGAAAAAGAACGGCATCGACTAGGAACTGCCGAAGGAAGCTGCCGACGTCGTCAACCGGAGAAGGTGGTAAGCTGTTCGCTGAATGGAGTTCTCCATGGAGTGGTACGCCTCCAAACGTGACCCCTGGTGAAGTTCATAGCAGCGTGCTTAAAAAAAAAGGCGCAACACTTTTTTTTTCTTTCTGCTCGCAGGCGTCACCATTCTGCTCTCGTTGATCGTCTTCATGCTGCTCATTTGCGAAAAAATTCCCGTCACTTCGGACGCTCTGCCTCTCATAGGTGCGGACCCCGTGAAGTGAGGTCGATGAACGTTACAAAAAAGCCCTTTCATTTGGTCATGGTTGTTCGTAAAAAAATATTGAGGAATATCGAGAGCGGAAGACAGTGACAGAGCGAGGACTGACGTAAACTGTAACAAACCCTCGACTCCTACACCTAGTAATAGCCCGTCATATGTAACGAGCCATCAAGTAGCAAGTCGTCTTTTTGTCACGGGCTTGGTCCACGCCAGTGCGAAAAGTCGAATCTGGTATCGGCCCTTTGAAAAATAGCGGCATCTTTTTGCCTATACCCTCAGTGTAGACTTGTGTTAAGGTACAGTCCGAGGTTGGTACGCACGTTATCAGTACAAACCTTCTTTACATCAAGGCAAGTTTCAGCTCATGGAATCCTCAGCGTCAGAGACTGATGTACAGACGCAGTCACGCATTATTTGATTTCTCGGGCGAAGGTCACGAAAATTTGTTTCCGTCATATTTTCTTCGATGTCTGGAAGTATAGCTCTCTCTGCCCGTAGAAGTAGCAATATGTTTGCTGCATTCAATTATCAAATAGTTTATCAGCCCGTGCGTCGAACTATGGGAGAGTTAGATTCTCATGAGCGCATTCATAGATAGCTGGGACCATAAGCTTACGCGGGGTCTCTTTCCCGAAGGGCAAAGCTTTACCGCAGCGCCCCCCCCCCCTTCCGCCCCCTCCGCGCCATTCCACCAATTAGGTCAAAACATGGGTTCGGCTTTCCACCCCCGCCCCTCTTAGGTATTTTAAGATGAGTGGCCACCCAATGAGCCCCTCACCCCTTCCCCAGGGTGCACGTCTAAGGCCGGAACCCTCTTACAGACTGCGTAGCAAACGACTGTTGCTACTGCTTACGTAGTTCAACGCTTGATAACATGTATACATGCAAATTCTTTAATACCGTCAGGGCGACAAGCCTCAAATTCGATACCCTGTTACGAGACCGGTGCTTATAGGCCCTCGCATTGTCCTTGTCTTCCGCTCCAGTCAACCGTGCTCCACTCACGATCCCGTTGTGTCCACGCTGCTCTGAAGCATGGCCTCCACTGTGGCCCTCCTCGCTCATGAGTCACTCCCCTCACCCTGCCTCTGCCACACGCTGCACTCGTGCGTCTAAATCCAAGTGGAGCTCTAAAGCGATGATGCCAGTTTAAAAAAAAAATTGCCGGGATGGCATCGCGAACACCGACTCATTGCGGACCTAGTCTGGTTCTTCGTAACAGCTCTGAGTGCATGGGTGAACTCATTTGCACCTGATAGCTCCAAGTTACCTGACCCGAATGGGAACGTCGCTTTTTCATTTCAGAGTATTTCGCCATCAAAACAAAAGCGTGATAGCCGAGGAGCCCGTGGTAAAAACTCTGTTGCGATAGTTTGACAATCACCGTGGGCAAGCCAGTGTGACGTCATACCACCCACATACAGATTCAATAAAAGGCAAGCTTAATCATAGCATTCTATAAGCATCGCTATTTCGCTGGTGTCAGTAGTTAGCCCGTGTCACTGAGGGGCGAGTGACCAACCCTCAGGCGCTTCACCCTTCTTTCTATTTTACCAGCATAACTATTGCACCAGTTAAGAGTCGACAACGTTGTGCAGGTTTGTTGATGGCGTCAGAGGTGTCGTATTTGCTCACGTCACGTGACCCAGCGCACCCGATGTGCAAATAGACTCTCCCGTTTCGAAACACCTAGTGCATTTATGAAAGAAATAAGCTCAGATTTAAGGGCTCGTTTTCTTTGTCGTAAACAGTATTTAAACGGTTCAGAAGCCGGCCAATTCAATGAGTCTGCAATTCCAATGTCTAAATATGCCAGTGGTCAGTACTTACGAAGGCAGCAGACTAAATATTTACGATTTGCACGCTTGTCACGTTACTAGTGTCGCTCTCTTGCTGAGAGACTCCATACGAGGTGCAAGTTTACAGACATTGGTCACAAGAGTTGAGCTGATATGCAGCGTGCCACGCGCAGCTCTCGAGCAGCCGTCCTAGTCGGCGCATGATTTTCTGTAAAATAAATCGACTACAGTGCCCATCATTACAACCTCAAGCCTCGTTTCATCGATATGACGAATGGCTATTAGCGCCGCTTTGAGAACGTATACACGAATAGGCAGGATCATCTCACGAGAGTACATGCCGTCCGTCAGCAGGTGCGATGTCTTTGTAGTATAAGGTAACAAACTTCTCGACTCGCCACACTCCATGTCGTCTTCGTGACATCTAGTTAGAACTTCGCGCATAATCTGATTCCAAACTCCTTTGCATTATTCTTGACTGCAGTTCGTTGAGTTGGATATGTACCTAGAATACAATACCACAAAAACTGCAAAATCCTGTAAAGCGTACTGTAAAATTTAGGTACAAGGCAGAGCAGTCTACTCTTCGGTAAAAATAGATAAGTTATTAATCTTTTTTTGGTAATGACAATGCCAATCACGCACTTTTCGGTTAGCTAGCTACGCGTTACACCAAGCATGCATATTTATGCGACTACCCCGCAACCCCATGCGTCTGGGTAACTCTAACCCGCAAACCGAATCTGCCACTTTTGCCTGATGGATGATATAGCTCGCAGTCTCAGAGCTTAAATACAAAGTTCATGCGGTAACTATGCACCTGTTTCGAAAAGACAGCGTAGAACGAATTGTACTACAGCAATTGCAACAAAACAAGTATGCCATCCCATTCAGTGAGGTGGACTACAAATTGTCAAAAATTGAGATCGTGCTCAGAGATGCGATTTGCCTTGAGAAGCAAGAAGACGTTGAACGAGGACAGCAACCAGCGTGGAAAGTGCGACAGAGAGCTTAAAATCTGCTCGTTTCTTTTACCACGATTTCGGAGATTTCGGCATTCTTAAAACATCTTTTTTTTCTCCTCGCCTTCCGCTGCTTGGAATATAATGTGTAAGCTTTTTTTTCTGGTAGGCTTAAAAAGGCTTTTCACAAGTTTTCCACGTGGTTCTCTCTAACAATACATGCGCTCACGTAGACACGCCGTTGAAGCAGATAGAAAAGAAAAAAAAATGCTGTTGCGTTCACCGTGGAGATCAAAAAGCATTCGCGCTACGTCGTTGATCAACGCCATGCAAATGCGAAAAAATAGTCGAAGCCCGCGTAGAAATTTCCGCGCAGAATTTGCAAATTGCCGTGAGTTATGGCTGCCTCATTCTTCGCCGAGGCGGAAACAGAGGTAATAATGCCGTACAAACGGAACGCGCCAAACCAAACCTACAGAAGCGGAATGCTTCGAAAGCAAGATCAACAAAGACGTGAAGAGATTGAGCGACAATGCGAGTGTAATTAAGAATCACCATATCGGCACGAATGCTGCGGCAAATGATATATGAGAGTGGGAAGCGCGTGGCATAAATCTCGTCGATGCTTGAACGACCTAAACGGACGTTTGGATGCGGGTGGCTGCATGCTGCTTTCGCAATGGCAGCCAGCGGCAGTTTGATTCCTGTCTCAGATATTAAGTTTCGACGCTGTGCTGAATGCGAATTCTCGCGGGAACGGATAACAAACATCGTTTAGTGTTCCCAGAGAAATGTGGACCGCAGCGCGCACCAAAGGAAAAAGAAGGAAGGTGTATAGCTGAAGGTGCGCGCCAAGCTGAAAACATGTCCGCTCTATGTGTGCACAGATGCAGCTAACATTTCTCGTGCCACGCACTTCTCAGGCATCCGGCAACCAAAGAGATTAAAAAAAAAAAAAAAGCTTTAGTGGAGCTCTGGCAATGCCTTACCGAAGTCATCGCTTGATTCACTTTTAATCTCGGAAGCATGCTCTTTTCGGGTGGTTCCCACTTGGATGTCTGCTGGTTTAACGAAGTTACGGTAAATTATGGGTTAAACATAATATATAATATCGTTGCTTCTCACGAAAGCAACCTAAATAGAACAGTAGCGATGACCCGATGTTCAATGGAATTCAGGAAGACCTAGAGGTTCTATGAGGATGTCAATAACACAGACACAAACTGAGCAGTAGGAGGAAACCCTTTTCTTCGCTAAGCGCTCTGTCTTGCCCCTTCTAGAATGGCGACTGGCAGCGCCGTCTTAGCTGGGTATGGCTTCCCTCTTGAAGCATAATTTTCACTTCAGCATTTTGTTTAAACTCCTTAGTGGCAACAAGCGGGTATGTCATAGAATAATAGTGATGTGCTCGCAACAGAAGCACAATACCGCCGATATCTTTACGACTCAGACGAATATACAGCCATGGTAGAGCACTAAAGTCAAGCTTACGGTAAATGCGTGACTTCCTTTTATATTATCTATTTGTGAGGTTTTCATGTCGCACTATCAAAGCTGATGACTGTACCGATAAACAGCAGAGTCTTAATAGGCAACGATTTGGAATTTCAGGTCTTGAGTACAAGTACAGGTCTGAACGTCGTTCAGTGCTCGTAGTTTTTAGTTCGCACTCAAGCGGTGCCATGATTAAACGTGCTCTTAAAACCGATGCGCAGCATGATCGTTCCGGCCTGTCTGTGGTGCATGGTTTGTTCACTTGTTTGTGACTTTGTTCTTGCCCGTTCGCACGTGGTGTTCACCAGAAATGTGGATGCTGGGTTGGTAAGAGTTGAAAACAGGGTTGTCGTAGCATGAAGCCCCTTGGTTGATGTTGCCTGAATGCTACAATTTTTTTTCTCATTCTTAAAGTATGATTAAACATAGCATTGATCTGAATACGAAAGTGGATGTGCACATGTGACTTAAATGACGCTAAGTCATTTAGCTGAGGTGAATGATGGTACGCAATGTGTGAATCCATGGTACATGCTTGCCTGGTGTGCATCTTCGAACCGTCTCCTTGATGACGCTGAGCATGCTTGCACGCTTGACTGTATTCTCTGTATTCTCTCTATGTAGGTACACGTTTAGTGTACCTACATGTCGATAAGTATAAACCATACTTTGCATGCTGCATTTATTTGTATACCGCCATTTAGCGTCCTGTCATGACCAATACGCCGCTTTCGAATTCCCTCACCCTCCTATTTTCAGGAACTTATTTTGCCTGCATCATGATCATGGTTGCCTTTTCGGTGGTCATGACCGTGGTGGTCCTGAACTATCATCACAGAAATCAAGAGACGACCGAAATGCCTGCTTTGGTGAGTGTCCTCTCTTCGTTTCCCGATAACAGCGGCATTATCATTGCATCTTGCTCTTGCCGTGTATGTTGTCACGCACAGCTATTTGACCTCACAACGCCATAATGTGAGGTACTAGCTTTAGGTTTGCCACTGTATACGTGATCTCTCGTAGCACGTGAGGTCTCGGTAAATTTGTTCTTTGCGGTGACTTATTTCGGCGTTGCGTGGCGTGTCACCTTCCTTGGTATGCTACAAACAAAGCTAAACGTATAGTACGTCATCATGTGTTATATTAGCAGTGACACTGTCCTTAGTCGAGGCATTCCCAGCCAATGGGGACACATCCTTGTGTTCTCTAGTGCTCGCGAAGCGGAACTGGCTGAATTTTTAAGTGCGGCACACTTTAGCAGGCCAGGCGAATTGTTTCGTTCCGCTGTATTATGTATTTAGGTCACAACCAACTATCCCAAATTCCAGCTCTAGCCTCGATTCAACTCGGAACTTTTTCGTTGCAGATCCGCACGGTGTTCCTGGTGTGGCTCCCGTGGCTTCTGCGCATGGAGCCTCCGGGCCAGAAGGCGAACAGGCGCAGCCTCTTCCTCAACAGCAAGATGAAAGAGCTCGAGCTGAAGGAGCGCTCATCGCGGAGTCTGCTGGCCAACGTGCTGGACATCGACGACGACTTCCGCACGGCCAACAGCGCCGCCGCCGCCGCCGACTGCCACGGGTCTCGGACCCCGTTCCTGGGCGGTGGCGGCGGGGCGTCCACGGTGCACGCTTGCGTCCACTCGTCGCGTGAACTGAACTTGATCTTGCGCGAGCTGCGCTTCATCACGAGCCGCATGCGCAAGGACGAGCAAGAGCGGGAGGTCGTTGGCGAGTGGAAGTTCGCGGCCATGGTCGTCGACCGCTGCTGCCTCATCATCTTCTCCCTGTTCACCATCATCTCCACCTGCGCCTGCCTCTTCTCGGCGCCCCATCTGGTCGCCTAGCGCACCCTGCTTCTAGGACAGCACTTTAACCGCCACCAGCTTCCTCCACCGGCGGCCTTCCTCTCGGAGAGCTTGTTCGCTACGTTCTTTTGCGCAAGCCCTGCTTGTTAGAGCGCGGCTTCCGAGATTGGTTGCTGGAGCCAATCTCGAAGGCCACAATCTCACATGCGCGGGCTCGTGTGGGAGAAAGTGGCTCGTGAAGAGTTCCAGGTGACGCCCTTGTTGCAACATCCCGTGAAGTCCTGTCCACGTCCCCACGCCATCGCGTGCGAAGAGATGCAGCGCGAAACACGTACGACGCGAAGACTTCGTACCACACTGTCCCTTACTGTGGGGAAGGAGGAAGACACGTGGAGGTCGCAGGAGCTAGTTTTTAAAAGTCTCAACTCATGTGCCAATCACGAGCCGCCACTTGTGCGAAAGCGTTGGACCATCTCGGAGGATCTGGTAGCACCGTCTGAAGCTGGTGCCTTGGCCGTCGCTTTCAATCTATATAGGATAAAATAACTGCACGTATGGCTGCCAAACTGTTTGAAGGGTCAAGCGGACTTATCAACCGAACCCAACGAAGGAAGCAAAGCACCGGATCTTCCCTCTACGAGCTTCGTGATTGTGAGATGCCCGCCATGATGCGACGCCTCTCGTTACTTGCCTGTCCATCATCATGGACGGCTCGTCGGAGTTGGATAAGCCACGAGCGCAACGTCCTCTTGCCAGTCCTTTCTTTCATCGGTGAATGGTGCGTATGAGTAAAAAAAAAATAGGGACAATTTTGTGTGCTGGGCTGCATAAACTTGTCTGTGAACGCGTACATGCCAAAACAGCGACCATCGTAGGACTGCGTATTGTTTCCACAGTGTTCGTTTACCTGTTGTCCTGCTCGAAGTGGCTGTTCTGAAATACCAAGGTGGACTTCTCTGATCATAAACCAGTTGTTCCGTGTCTAGCCACCTGCCACCGTGAACACCTTAGCATGATTTGGCAATACCCGTTTGGGCAAGGTCCGTTTGGGCTTCGCGAAATGGGAGCACATGGAGTGTACTTTTGGCCCTGCTCCCAGCGTCTACAATGTGCCCGTGACTGTTTAAAGCACGGTGTCTCTCCATGGTGTTAGCTCACTGTAGACGTTTCGGTGCTTCGAAAAATAGTTCTCCGGTGATCGCCAACGGATTGAGAGCTTTAGCTTCTAAAATTCTGAAATGCACTGAGATGAACGGAAATGTCGAAGAAAGCGCGCTGCCGGCTAATGCCAATAATGTTGAAAATAATAACCATGTTTTAAAAGTCGCGCGAGTTTATATCACCCACCTCGACGGCTGATGCTGTCTTGTTAGCAAGTTAAGCAGTTACAGAGAGAGGAAGCTTGTTTTACGCCTTACTGCGAAATAACTAGTATGAGATGGGAGGCACCTAAGATCGACTACTTCTGTAATATTGTAGACCAAGCAAAAAAAAAGGTGCTGATTCAGCGCGCTACTTTAGCATATCATAAAAAAAGCTCGAAGTTATCTCAATCGCACAGTCGTTATGATTTGCCTTTCTTTGAAATATTATTCGGTGACGCGTTGACTGCAATTATTTAAGTTTCTTTTTAATTTTTGTCTCTGACCTTTTACACACAATATGGTGTAGGAAACAGTAAAGCTCTGCATTTACGACATCAAGAATCTATATTTAAGAATATAGCTCGGTGGAGGCTATTGATCTTAACAGTAGTTTGCGTACTATTAAAGGCTGCAGCTGGATACATACAACCGTTATTTATAAACGTTGACAGAAAATTTTTCACGTCATTCTCAAATATTCAGGGTACGCACACTTATTCAGCGGGAGTGCAACAACATATATCTGTCACCATATTTTAATCTGCAGTCGCGTTCAACGTTCGTGATCAATAATGTGGAAGAATGGACATTGGCCAAAATATGCGAGAACACGTGCCAAAACTCCAGACATCGCTTCTCGGCTTGTTTAGTGTTCGATTCGATATGCTTCATTCGACCTAGATTCTGTGCGATGGTCTCACGGAGTTGTCATCGCATTTTTTGGGGGGAATCTGTGTATGAAAAATAAATGAGCCAATTAGGGCGAATATTGCGTTATAGATGGAGGCGCGTCGTCTGATAGACGGGTCAATGAATCCAAATCGCCGTTATGGGTCCTCAATGAAGATATCGTCGAGTGCAAACACATCGTCATTCGTGGAGCAGAGCTAATCGTCCCGCTGCACTCTAGAAAAGAAAACGAAAGCCCCCTTCTTCTTGTTTTCGCCACATGTGTAACTATCGCACGCATACTTATTTTCAAAGAAACACATTAGCCCTCTTCTGGAGAGTCATGCGTCCAACGACTCTCCAAAACAGAGTTAACGGGCCTCTTTCGAGAGAGTTGTGTATGTTAGATTCATATACGTGGCAAGGAAAGGGCAAAGGAATACCTCCCCTTGCCTCCCAAGAGCGCACGGTTAATTTTGCGTGGAGAAAAGCTATCCAAGCGCGACCTAACGCTAGTGTCTGGAATCTCACGCTTAGGAAGAATGACGCGTCTATGTTTCCAGTAGCATCAAAATTTATGCAAAAAAGAAAGATTCCTTCCATTTTTGGGGGCCGTCTCTCAAAAGGCAGACGTGTATGACTCAGTGGGAATAGTGATAAGAATAGTTAAAACAATAGTACTCAGTAGTTCTGTGAGATATTAATGTTACAGGTCTCTGAGTAATACAGGAGGATAACTTTCACAAAGATGCAACTAAGGCGGACAAAACTGCTTTGTTTCCTGTGGTTAGCTTGTTCGCGCATACGTTTTCTTCGCGCATACATTAGCTTGTTCGCGCATACGTTTCTAGGGACTCTCGAGTACTGCGTCAATCAGAGTGCATCCCTCACGACGTTCATACAGGAGTCTAAGACAGTGAAAATTCGTGTTCCCACCATTCGTGGCAATTTCGATCCTAAAACCTTGAACTTAACCTGCACCGCGGTAACCTTAAAACGCAACGTAATCGATCCCATCATTCAGCGTCAATAGATACATGACAGCTTTGCGGAATAAGGAAGCGCTCGGTGCGGTGATACAATGCATAAAACCGCGCCTAATGTAGGACTTCTATTTGCTCCAGTGAGTTATACATGCACTGGTCGCTAGATCGCTTGCCTAAAGAGTATACCTACGCTGATCTCAAGTAATCCTGGTGTTTCTATAGGCATCTTCGTGGCAGTATGCTGTATCATAGCGACCGAGTTTCCTATTGTACGGCTAACACAAGGATTAGTATGTGGGTTCGCTTTTAAGGTGGCTGCAGCTATTCACCACGAGGTCGTTTTAAGAATGAAGACAGCGTCCACAGGAAGGCTATGAATTGTGCATATGTACAACGTTTGTAGCCCTATATGACAACATACACGTAATCACGTATCTGTGGGTTGACATCATCAATGCTTCTGTGATACAACGTTGTGTTGTTCCATGTGTGCGCCCGATAAACGACGTTTGTTCGTCGTTTCCCACGCGCCCTTCCCTTAGGAAAATGACTTTCGCCCACTCTACGCGTGAGCCGGTCTTGTCCTCTCTGATGCCTGTTTCCGTGTTCATTCCCAACACCGTGTGCTAATCACGTGACGCCATACCGAGACAGCTATATTGCAGTGTGACATCTTCATGTAACGGTCACGTCGACGGCGTTCAGGTCTCTTTTTTTTTTCTTCTGTGTGATCAACTACTACAAGAAGCAGCGATGAATGTGCCATCTCTGAATGCCACGGCAGCGTACTGGTCATTCATCCGTTGCTGTGCACCAAGCGCTTGCCATCTAATCTCGCCTTAGTTAGTAAATTCCACCTTTCTTGTCTTGATCCCGACACCAGATCTACTGACGTCATTTTGATGTGCGAGACATGTTTTCGCTTGTCGTGATTTTGTTCAACGTTTTCTGTGAAGCGCCTGCTCGATTTTCTTTCCCTTCGCCTGTGGCTGAAACTCATCGCTTCCTCATCATCAAGTTGGAGACCAAGACTCTGTAGACTACGAAAAGGTTGAAGTCACGTGCTGTACATACGTTGAGAAGCTGTGTAACACTAGTCTATAACATATATATGAACGTTAAGCCAAATTTTTGAGAATTTCTATATGTATCCCAATCTTCCAAACACTCCAGTTGATATTTCTTGTTATGTTAAAAGCACTTTGCTTTTTTTTTCTCAGCCCTTGCACCTGTGCGTAACACCTTCGAATGCTCGTTGACAGCAGTATCTTCAAGATGTCAAGAAGTAGGGAAGCGAAAGGGGAAAAGGACGTAAAGAGACTTGAATCTACTGAGCTGGAATCATTGAGTACTTGGTCGAAGCGAAGCAAACTGAGGAAACGGCGCCGGGCTCTCATGTGCCGCACGCGAGCGTTAGGATGACTGAGTTGCACAACCTAAAAGAAAATGGCATCTCCACCCACAGCGGTCATATCACAAAGAATTTGCTCAATTGCATGTGTTAAGAAAGTGTTTAACGATCCAATGTTGATGGTACTCTAGTATGGGAGAGCAGTGAGACGTCCCACTTCAATAGCCTTTTGTGTTTAGAAGGTGGTAACGATTTTGAGCACTCAGTACTCTACTATGGGAGAGCCAAAAGTCGTCCCGTGAGCCTCACATTTCATGTGAGTCCATGAGAGGCACACAGACGTCTTCATTTCAATTTCACATTTCACATTTAATCCCGTGGGCCTCACTCCTTTTTGTGACGTTAATCACATCTATAGAGCTTTCAAGATATTTGACTTTCTCTTACAGATACATATTTGTATCGCTGGTTTTAGGTTGGAAACTCGAAAATCCTGGTTGATTTTGTCAGAGAATCTTACATCCACCCTCAACCAAATCTAACGCTCAAGTATAGTTACTGCAAGATTTAAATTCTTTATATTCATAGTATTCACATCAACTGTAAAAAAACACAAATTACGGTTCGAGCGGGAACCAGCTGGCATGATTGTTTTTCATTGCTGAATAGCCGGCGCGTCGTGGCTCTGTGGGTAGAGCTGACGTTTTGTTCTTGCGCCTAACCACATGTACGCGCTACAGCGCGTCAGCACGTGGAGTTCTCTTCCTATTCGCGCCATTTCATTTAGCTGTGCAGACAGAGGTCAAGCAACTACACGTAGCATCGCGCCCTCTCCCTCAATAGGAACGTGACGCGACGCCTAGTCTACACGCCACGCTTGGACGCGTCGTAATGGGTACGTGTGGTAAGGGCTTTAAGTTGTAACCGAGTCTAACTGCAAGCACGCACTCACCGCGAACACAAACAGCTGCATCAACGAAGCACACCAACGTAGTAAATGGAGCGACTGAATGTGCATGTGCTCTAGTATGTATCCCCAAAAGTGGAGCCAGTTATTACAGTGCTTACTCTCACTTTTAGTTAAAGCTAATAGGTACATCGTTACGGGCCCCAGTTTTTGCCTAAATGTCTCGCGTTGTCTCTGTCGATTCACTGAGGGGCGTGCGTGAACGAAATAACCGACTCTCGCAGCGAACAACTTCTGTTTAGTTGCATCAATCTTTGCAAATACGGCTCCATCTACCCTGCTTGTAAATCGCTCGTCTCTCTCTCTCTCTCTCTTGTCTTCGTCCTCTCTCTCTCTCTGTCTTCATTGTCGCTCAGAGCAGCCTCGGACCTCAACGTATTTTCTCCTTGTCGTCTATAAAAGCCACTTATTTTATGCCTGCAGGCTTCGCCATCTCGAACACTGGGCTGTCAACGTGCAAGTAATCTTTCTGTTCAGGACTCAACAAGTTAGCGTTAATCAGTTCCTCTCTTTCTTCCGTACGTTGCGTCCTTTCGCCTTAAGTTGGTATTCCCGGGAATTTTGGTTTACACACTATTTTGCGATCTACCTTACCGCTGTGTATGCGCTTTTTCTAAATCCTCAATCCTCCTTAGCCGCTAAGCAAAATATAAAATTGTGGTGTAGCTGACTTGAATGCCTCTCGTCTTTCTCTTGATGTTCACGACAGAATGTGACGTTAAGCTGGTAAACTAGCTACCACTACCAGGCAACAGCATATCTAATAATGATTAAAAAAGATTACATTTAAAGAAAAAAAATCTGGACATCTTGACAGTTGGACGACATTCAAAGCAATAGCCTAAACCAATGTACGACTTGTTTTATCGGTGCTTATTTGCCTGAACAGCTTGTAACCAGCTTGCGATGCTTTTTACGCTAGAATCCGCACAACGAAACTGGAGAGGCCAACTATTTACAGCCTTACAGCGCTCACGACAAAATCATCACGGTCTTCCCGCAGCTTTCCCGTTCTTGAAACTCGCGCCCTTCCATGTCGATGGCCCAGTGTTCGCAGACGATGGCGGTGTCTGCCGAAGTACCCCTGGTGTCTGCGACCTCGTTTTAACGTGTGTCCTCCGTCTTTTTGCGAAGCTAACACAAAAGCTCAATGGAGTCGCGCTGCGCTGAGAATGCGGCGCAGGCAGTGGCATCGTTCGCTCTCCCTTGGCGGCTGCCGTCAGCCCGCTGAGTTTCAACCTCGAAGCGTCTTCTCACCACCGCAGAGTTTCCTAACAACATACTAAAACTAAATGGGGCGCTAGTGCCTGTGGGAGCTTCGACGCGTCGCACTTCAGACAGTATATGAATGATAGGCGGCTCACGGATTTGTGTAAGTTCCGTTTTTTTTTTTCGGCACCGTGTAGCCTGTTGCCGCTTTGTCGTCAGGCGAAGTTCAGCGAATTTTCAGCCGTTTCACTTCACCTCATT